TCGCCTGCAAGTTCAGTGGAGGTACTGCACAATAAGCCAGTGCAGTGGCAGAAATTAAAAGCTGGTGGAGGCTTACCCAGTGCAGGGGAAGTGGGTGACGAGGGGGAGAAGCGCGGTGAAGGTGGCCATGTTCAGGATTGGAGCAGTAAATGAAGGGCATAGAGCGCGATGACAAGAGGGGCAAGCTCCAGAAAATCCTCCCAGAGCGATGGAGTGTCCTTACCAATGGGCCAATCGTCCGAACCAGCCAAGACAACCAACATGCCAGGGATTTCACGTCCAGCACTGGGGGTGCTGATGAGCAGGGTGACACCTTAGCATTCGGCTGCAAAGGGTGCAGTGCCTGTATTGTCAGAAACGAGAGTTCATAAACACTTGGAGTGGCCTTGCTCATGCCAAGCATGAACGAAGTGAAAAACCCCTGTACACTCAGACTTTACTGCATTTTCAGGAAATACAGCTGCATCCTCTGGGACTTCATAGGGCATCACATTGTCATCAGGATTGTGTCTGAGATCATGTTTGTGAGTGACAGGGGGCATTTTGGAGGCCAGGAATTAAGCAGCCTCTTGTGCCCTTTCTACATCAGGAAAAAATTACTTGACTACATGACCCATAGCCTAAGTAGTAGCGGTAGCTCAGTAGACAAGTCCCCAGTTATACTGCACCCAGTAGCCACTGCAGTGCCTCTGCAGCTCCCTGTAGCTCTGTAGGTGCACTACATAGCTCTCCGTAATCAACCGTGATCAGTAATAAAGTGGTAGCCCTCAGCCAGGTTTTGTAGCCAGAAGCCAATGCTAAGGTTGCATCTAATCACACCAGTACTAGGTACAGTAGATAAATATATTTGTTAGGCACAGTACGAAATGTGCACGCTTAGGTGGGGTGAGAGTATATTCTGATGAAGCCATCCACAGTAGGGATGTGCTACCACAGCAGTGGGTGTCTAGCTGCTCCGGCTGTGGAGTTTGCATATCCAGCAAGTTCTGATGGCCTAGCAGTGTCGATGGCAGGGAGTACATCAAGGGTCAGACTGAAAGTGTGACACTATGGGCATGATTGCACTGCAGTGCATGTGAGCAGGAGAAAGAGCAATCTGCTCTCTGCCCTGCCCTGCACAGCAGACAGCTCCACTGCACACTCGGCAGAGTAATGGCCCAGTTTCAAGTGGTGCAATGCGATGAACTGTACAATATCATTCACTCACTCCCAGTACTCACCTGTATCTCTGGCACGAAAGAGCCACTGCCACGGTCATGGAGACTGCATGCACACTGACACGTTGTTACCATCACTGATGACCCAACTACTCAAGCCCCAGTTCTGGGAAATTGCATGCAACGATGGTGTGTAAAGAGTTTCCTTGTGCACAGACCTTATCACAGAAGCTGAGTATATTGCTGCAGTTGAAGCTGGAAAGAGAATTCTCTGGATGCGTAATATTCTGACAGAACTGGGGTATACAGTGTCCAAAGCCTCTACACTTTATGTGAACAATCAGTCTGTGATGAGTGTCTCTAAAAATCGAGAATGTCATGAGAGAATGAAGCACTTGGATCTGCATTTCTTCTGGCTTTGAGACACTGTGGAGGCTGATCAAGTTGCACTGGTGTATATTCCTACTGCAGAGATGGTAGTGAACATATTAACGAAACCCTTGCTAGTGGCAAAGATTATCTACTGCTGCGAGATGATGGACTTGAAGATCTAATCACCAAGCCCTCGGATCTTTCCGAATGTGCTGAATGATCTGCCACATGATATACCATTCTCACTGCTGCGGTTCAAATTATCTCTTTGCACCATTAATCACTATGAAAACATTCGCTCTTGCCCTTCTTATTACAGCAGCACTCTTCCCTGTGATCATCCTTCTTTCATTTTACTATGTCATCACACGTATCTGGCTAGCACCACCCCTGCTTGACATCGAATTGGAACGCATCACCATTCCAGCATCGAATCAACCATATCACATGCTAGTCCACCCAGATGCACACACCCGGTGACACTCTCTGCACTTCACCACTCAGCAGTTTGACGAACTGGATGACCTTGCATCTATGATGCTGCGTGAGAGTGAGATGGAAGCTGATCATCCATCCAAGTCTACGAGGAACATTGGGATGTAGTGAAATGAGTGGGTTCAGGGGAAGGTATATGGGGTGGTTCTTGCATTGTGTTGAAGAGGGAAGACTGGTTGAATTAAGGGAAAGTGTTAGATTAGATAATTCATCAGTCTCCCAAAGGTCTAGACTCAAAGCAATGCAAGGTGCTGTGCATCTAGACACCTGTTAATTAGTCAGGGTAGGCTGTGCTATACACTGCCATGTAGAGACTATGCATAGCTATGCCTACCTATGTTCATAGCCACAATCCTGTGTTAGTGCATAGGTTTGTACTTGTTGGGAGTGGGCCACTGCTTCACATGGTATGAATGATTCCTGAGGTCTGATGTTCCTGTGTTCCTGCTTTCCTCTACCCAATTTCTAAGCAATTCTTGAATAGTAAATTCTGTCTACATCTTACAATATATTACAATGCTACACCTTCTGTTCTCAACTTCTGCCAATACATTTGCTGTCATGTCATCCAAAGAGCACTCAAATTTGGAGTAAGTACCGGTGCTAATACCATCATTATACCATATTTGCTTGTCTGCCATTACAATCCGAGATGTAAAGTGAAATCCACCGAAGTATATCATTTCACAAAGTCGATATTCATGATCATCTTCACCAATGTACAGCTTGGGATTGCACTCAACTTTCACTTCATTGGTAGAGAAGACAACAAAATTTGGATTCTGTGCAAAGTTTACTTGCATGTACATCTTCTTTCCACATTGCAGACATCGCACTGATGTCTTTCTGTCAAACAAGAGAACCAGTCCGACAACTTGCACCACTTAGAGCTTCCCATTTTCAGTCCTGATTCTTTCCAGATAGCCTTGGTGCAGTCCCATAACATTGTATTGTCAGATTCTGATTCATGTTGATACTCACAATGCTTGCAGACAAGGGTTCGAGTTATATGGTCTTCATCACAGCCAAGCATGGTGGTACACAGCTTTATGAGATCTGAGCCTGCAGTACCAGTGATTGGAAGTGCAACAGGATCAACCTGATGGAGTATTACTCACATATGGTCTCTTGCTTGTTCCATTGTAAGTCTCTGTTGTAACACTTGGCTGAATACAGCGGTAAAGTGCTCCAGATATTGATTTTGCATGCATATATCTGCCATCCAATGCTCAGTCTCTGTAGAGAATAGATGAAATAAAATACCAAACAGGCTATCATATGCGCAGCTGTAAGTGTCTTTGTTCCATTTAAATCCAATTGGACCATTCACAGCAAGATCAACAGGGTCATTCTGAGTTTTATGTCTCTTTTGCTCAGGCAAAATTGCATTGATTTCCTCAAGATGCTTTCGCTTTGCACCGCGCTTCTGTCCTGGATCATTGCTGACAGTTGTCAACTGTTTAGTGCCTTGTGCAGAAACAAACTTGCTAATATCCTTCTTTACCTGCGAGATCTTGGGTTCTTCCATCTGTACGTCTATGTCATTCACTGTCTTTTTGGCTCCCTTCTTAGGTTTCTTCAATAACTGCCAGTCGCTCTCTTCTTCAACTTCCTCAAGTTTAAATGGCTTCTCCTGTGACCATTTGAGCTCAGAATGTATGCCTTTAGGTACATGCTCTGGTCCTTTATATGATCGGAAGGAATATATCAGTTGATTGCGAGTATTGCCCTCCACTTCACTGGCCAACTTCTTGTGATACCGCAACTTGGTAATCTCAAGCTCTCTGAATTCTTGCCTCAGATAACCAGTTAGACCACCTGTCATCTTTTTATGATCATGAATTCTTGCCTCAGATGACCAGTTAGACCACCTGTCATCTTTTTATGATCAAATCCCTGCACAATTATAGTGCCCTCATATGTAGATCCACGAGATAGACAAGTGTAAACAGACTGGTGAGATCGACAGTTCTGTAAGTCACAGACATTGTCTGGACGAGTACGACCCTGATCCAAAGTCTGTCATTGCAAAGTTAGGGATCACAGGAACTTGATATCGCATAATGGTTAGAAGTTTATCATTTTGCATATTACACTTCACTTTGATACCCTGCTGACTAATAGGTACAGCATTCTCAGGCAATCCATCTAGCTGAACGGGTGTTGGAGGTGCAGTGAGTTTGATAAACAGTGTCTCTAAGGCATATTTATTATTTTCAAGTGGCTTTGACTTCCAACCAACAACTATACCTTCTGCACCATTAGTTACACAGCATTCTGTGGCCTCATTTGTTTTAATCATTACAGGTAGACCAAGACAAATGGTGAGTTTCCCTGGGTGATGATTTGTACTAGCATGAGGCAGTTCCCATAGTCTTGCTTGAATTCCTGGCTCAATCTTGTTAGACTTCCGTTGTGGATTGACCACCTTCTGTTTGCGATTTGGTTTGTCATCTGGTGTATCTGACCATTTGTCTACAGAATAGAATGTCTTCAACTCCTGCTTAGTCTCTTGAGCAAATCGTGCATATCCAAGTTCATTGATTTTATCTCGGTGAGTATTCCATGCTGTGATCACAGACACATTTCTAAATCTTGGTTGGTTCAATTTGGGCTTGTCTGCTGCACGACCGGCAATTCTGGATTCAATATGTTTAATGTCTGCCATAGTACAGGATTTAAAGCAAAGGTTCTCTAAGGCCTTACACAATTTGGCATCATTTGGATTTTGTAAGCGCTGTCTCATGTTCTCACGCAGAATTACTACTGTAGTAACTTGATGCCAGAGTGCCTTGCCTAGTGTGGCTTCTTGGAGATGGTATCCATTGGTTGTATGTACATTACTAAGGTCATGCATTCCAACCTTATGTGAATATAAAGAAAAGGTAGGTCCAGCCGGTGGAAGCTGTGCAAAATCACCAGCAAATATCATATTAATTCCTCCAAAGGGTATACCTTCATTCTTGAGAGCAGTGCTCATTTTTGCACATATATTATACATGCTGTTGCAGTCTACCATAGACACCTCATCCACAAATATATAGTCAACATTGAGCAGTCGTGCACGTACTTGCATCAAGGAAGTCTGAGAGTCACCAAACTTGCTGAAACCAAGCATAGAATGATAGGTGGAGCCTGCAATGAGAGCAGCAGCAGAGCCTGTAGGTGCAACACACATAAACCGATAGCCTTCCTTTCGCTCACCAAAGAAATGAATCAGGGCCTTAATAACTTGAGATTTTCCTGTACCTGCCATTCCACCCAAGTACATCTTCAGTTGCTCACCACTGGGATCAGTTGCATGGTTTGCTATGATTCGTAAGGCACACTCTTGGTCAGTATTGAGACTAAAGTTTTTGACAGTATCATCAATCAGGGTTTGATCTGCTTTGTTCTTTGCCTCAAAATTCTTATTCAGATAAGACTGATCAATTACCTTCACTGTGTTCACATCCTTGCTGATATGCAGTCCCGTCTTGGGATCTACTTCATCTGAATTGTTATCTACTGCCTGCTCCTCTCGTGTACGAAGGATCTCCTGTCGCTTCTCAGCAAGTAAGTTTTTCCATTCCACTGCTGTTTTATCTTGACCTGTAATAGTCTCAGTAGGAAGATTCAAAGTGTCCAGACCTGTATCCTAGATATATTGTCCAGCCATCCAGATGTTTGCATAATTCTTTCAGCTTGCAGCATACTGCTGATTCTGATCAGCATCTTCTCACCCACTTGATCCCAGTCATCTGATTCAGGCATCAAGTCGAGATCATTACTTACACCTGCTGTGGCTTCGTCTTCTTGATATTGGATATCAAGTTCATTCATTGCATTGTCATCCATACCAAAGGGCATTTGTCCATGGAACTTGCCTGCCTTATGTGCAGCAGCAAAATCATCTCTAGCATCATTGCACTCATAGCGTATATGGAAGAATTTCATGAGCTCTAACTGTCTGGGTGTAAATTTATACTCGTCAAAGGTATTGTGCCAGGATGTATTTGCATCAAGCTTAAGGTCAAGCCCAGTATGCCAAGGTTTGAACAAACTAAGCATTGTCAGGTAGTATTCTTCACGATCACCGGTGTCACATCTAGGCAATAATCCACCTACAAAGTTGGGTACCAGACTGTCTGCTTCAGCCAGCAGTCGTACCTGGTGAGTTGCTTTCTGAGGATGTTCTACAGTAAAGTAACCGGGTTTTAATTCCAAGGTCAGATGATCCTTCTCTTCTTGCGCTGCTGCCTTCTTTGCAGACTTTGTGGTCAGCAGAAGTTCATCTTCACTTTCTTCCTCCTCCGTCATCATATTGGAGATCTGTTCATTGTAAGTGACATCTTCCTCTTCCTCTTCCTCTTTAAATGCTGCATTATTAACCTCAGGAATCTCAAGAAACTCGTCGTCAACTGCATAGTTATTTTCAAAATCAGTTTCACTGGCATCTTCATTAATGTCAGGTTCTATAGTCACTGTATCAAAGGCATTTAAATTGGCAGGTCGGGTATCTTTCTTCCTGGATATTGTTCTTTCTTAGAGCGACAAATCCAGTCATATAAGCTTACAGATTCATACTTTTTGGGCCGATAGACATAGTCTAACACTGGAGATAAGGCGACATACTCTCCTTGAACATTACCTAGTACAATCTTTTCCTTCTCGTGATGCAGTGAATCTTCTAAAGGTTCATCAATATTCATATGATCTGACACTGTTATCGCAGTTGACCATGCCTTTTTAGCCTGGTTAACATAGCTTCTCCAGTAACAGATCTTAAAATTGTGACTGGTGTAATGATCACTATGACCAAGTAAGTACAGAGAGGCCATCGGTCCACCAATTTCTAAAGTAGTGGTCAAAGCATTGACAATCTTGGTCAGTAGTAGACGCGCCTTCTGACATCTTGGCATGTCACCACCAATTAACTCAACATTTCTGTCAAATACTCGACGGATGGCATCAAACATGACATGTGTCTTCAAGGGTGTCTTAGTAATATAATCAGTTACATATGCAATCACTGACTTAATTGCTGTACCGGACAAAAGACTCGTTACATCCACTTCAGGGTACCCTTTATCCCTAGCTCTTAGCGACAAGATCTTCTATAGTATGTCACTTGTGGGGAGTGGGCCATTGCTTTGCATGGCAGGAACAATTCCTGAGGTTCTGTGTTCCTCTCTTTCTCTCATCATCTAATTGTTTTCACATACTTTAATCATTTTGTATTACTCCTTAGTAGTTGATTACTTGTGAAGAATGATCCATTGCATTGCATAGCATGTTGTATTTTTATTAGGTATTTATGTCAAGGTTTCATCATTTATATTCACTTAAAACAGTCACTTTAGGTGAAAATCTAGTACAATTTGATGTTATACTAATAAGTATAAAGAATGCAAGTCTTTCTTGTTAGAGTATAATTTTTGGTACCTCTGAAACTCTGTTTTTATTCGAAATAAAATTATATAAAAATTCATGTTATATCAATAGCAAAAAGAAATAAAGTATTAGAATGACTTATAATATTATTTAGATACTCTAAGTATCATTAACAACTGCATTACAATATTTTAGTATCCTGTTCATTTAATATTTTACTTACAAATATTTGGTAGCAGTACTGCAATAGTCCAGCAGGTCATCTATATGTCTATACAAAAAAGTTACAAGAAAATGCCACAGCTGTTTAAATGAAAGCATTATAATAGTCTATAATGTTATTCAATAACTGGTGCATTGCTTAGTAATATATAGTAAGCTTTTAACAATATTATACTTATAACTTACTTATAAGATGTCACCTGATTGTAGTTTATAAAAATATTATAGCAATGTATTAGAGTATGCAACACACTTTATAACAATAATATGTTATGTTATCACATGAGTCTTATATGTCAGTTGATATTATAGTATAATGTAAATCATTGTTTATTTATAGCTGCCTGATAATAGCTTGACATATTACTAAGTATCTCAGAGTAGGATTATTTAAAACATGGCTTTAAAATGATATTACTCTGTTCTTTTATCAAAACAATATAAGAATGTTACTAAAAATTGTTAGTACACCTCTCCTTAAAACCACCTTCAAAATTGCTTTAAAATGATACTACTATGTGGTTCTGCAAAAACTATATAAAAATATAACCAAAAAGTGACTAGTATGCATTCTTCAAGACTCAGCCAAAAAATGGCTTTAAAATGACAATATATGTCATTTCGCAAAAAGTGAATAAGCAATTACTAAAAAGTAACTAGCATGTATTCTAAAAGACTGAGCTGAAAAATGGCTTCAAAATGATATTACTATGTCATTTTATAAAATCTATATAAAACTATAACTAAAAAGTGATTGGTATGCATTCTAAAAGACTCGGCTGAAAAATGGCTTTAAAATGATATTACTATGAGATTTTGTAAAAAGGATATAAAAACATTACCAAAAAGTGACTAGTATGCATTTCAAAAAAATGGGCTTCAAAATGGCTTCAAAATGATACTACTATGTTGTTCTGCAAAAAGTATATAAAAACATTACTAAAAAGTGACTAGTGTGCATTCTGAAAGACTCAGCTAAAAAGTAGCTTCAAAATGATATTATCAATTTATAAAATGTATATAAAAATATGACTAAAAAGGCATTCATTAATATTCAGCTTACAAGAATCACCTTAATAGCCTGCAATGTCATGTACTTACTCTATCTGATAGAACTTTCTTAGAATCTTCGATTCTATAGTTATGCCACAATTCTTCCAATATTTCTATAATTTTTTCGGATTTTTTTCTATGTCATCAGATTTTTCGTAGGACATCTAATATTAGTTGGTAAGTGCCTTACAGTAGTCTGACATACTGCCTATCATTTTTAATGGAGATCTTACAATGCCCCATAATGTGATCTGGTAATGTTTGGTAAGCTCCTACAATATCTTACTACATAGTTTACTAACTTTTAGCAAGTTGCTCAGTACTCTAATGACCTTATAATAGCCTGGCATGGCACCTGGTATTTATTTTTAAGGCCTTATAATAGTCTGAAAGGCCACCTACTATCAGTTTGTAGGCGTCTTACAACAATTTACAATGTCATCTACAAAATTCGAATATACCACCTACAAACCATGAATAGTCTATTATATACTTTACTGACTCCTAGTATGTCATATAATAATGTCTGGTAAGCATTCTACAATATTCTACTCCACTAAGTAGTATGAGTTTATAAGAGCCTTACATTGGTATACAAATTTATCTACAGACTCTTAATATATAAGAATCTCTACAAAAAATGACACTAGCAAGTGTGCCTATAAGAATCACTACAAAAATGTTACCAACAAGTCTATAAGAATCACTACAAAAAATGACACCAGAAACTGTTACAAATATGTGTCTAAAAGAATCACTACAAAAGATTATGCTAGAAACTGTTACTAATATGCCTACAAGAATCACTACAAAAAATAACAGCAGAAACTGTTACACATGTGCCTATAAGAATCAGTCTAAAAATGACACTAGAAACTGTTACTAATGTGTATACAAGAATCAGTACAAAAAATGTTACCAATGTGCCTATAAGAACCACTACAGAAAATCACAGGGGAAACTGTTACTAATGTGCCTACAAGACTCACTATAAAAAATCTTACCAATGTGTCTATAAGAACCACTACAAAAAATAACAGCAGAAACTGTTACACATGTGCCTATAAGAACCACTACAAATAACAACCGTAGAAACTGTTACTAATGTGCCAACAAGAATCATTACAAAAAATGTCACCAACACGCCTATAAGAACCACTACAAAAAAATAACACCAGAAGCTGTTATGTGGCTATAAGAATCACTACAAAAAATAACGCTAAAAACTGTTACTAATGTGCCTATATGAATCACTACAAAAAATGTTACCAATGTGCATATAAGAACCACTACAAAAAATAACACTAGAAACTATAACCCATGTGTCTATAGCAACACATCAAAATGTATACAATAAATTGTTATTATATTATCTACTAAATCCTAGTATCATCTAATAATGTGTAGTAGGTGTCCTACAATGTTCCACTAGACATTGATAACAGTCTACAAAGTCGCCTACTAACTCCTCTACCAACTCCTAGTGTGCCATTTAATAATGTGTAGTAAGTGTCCTACAACATCCCACTATACATTGATAAGTTGTGTGGGTTGATAAGGGCCGCATTATTAAATAGTCTACAAAGTTGCCTACTAACTCTTAGTATGTTGCCTAGCAATGTTCAGCAAGTCAACAACACCCAATGATACTGACTCCTAATATATTTTGTAGCATGAGTTTGTAATGAGCTTACAATAGTCGGAAGTGTTACCTGGCATCACTTTGTAAGAATCTTCAGTAACCTTCAATGGTCTCTAGTAATTTCTTGTAAGTGTCCTAGTGAACATGTGACCCTACAATAGTGAGATATGTCATCTAGTGTCACTTTGTAAGATGCTTAAAATAGCCTACAAAGTGTTGTATTGACTCCTAGTATGTCTAGTAGTGTTTAGGAAGCCTGCTTCAATGCCTCATTATACCATTTCTTGAATTCTATTACACCCTCTAGTATTGGTTTGTATGGCCTTACAATATTCAAATATGCCATCTAGTGTGGATGTGTAAGGACTTTACAATGGCTTACAACATTGTCTAGTTACATCTACAAGTCTACTATCATCAAAAGGCCATGCCATAATTTTCCTGGTATTTCTGCGATTTTTTTGCATTTTGTCTTCAGCCACATGTCACATGGCCTGCAGTCACGTGACACTACCGGCTTCAAGCACTTGTTACCACACTTGTAGCCAAACTTGCCAGGCTTGTAGCTCACTTAATTCTGCTCGGATTTGGATAAACCAAGTGGCCATTCTGACCGAATTTTCAAACTGAATCTGACGGTATTACTTTTGAAAACATCAAAATCACTTGCTGGAGTGCTACAATTTATTTTCTTAGTTTTCTCTCCATTCTGCTTGCTTCTTCAATATGCACTGCATGTAAAAAATAAGGCGCCCTATCTAACATGTTTATGTGCATTTTAGAGTCATTCTCAAAATTTTCTGGCATTTATCCAATTTTTCTGCACTTCACACTGAGCATTCTAATCCAAAACCGAGATATCTCTGCCAGTTTTACTCAGATTTACTTGGTTTAAGAGAGCATTATGCTCCATTTCCTTCACAGATTTCAATGGTACTGCTTTTTATGTGTTGGAATTAGCATGTGCTTCTATACTTTCACTGACTATGATGCATTGGTCCTTTGTGACTGCTGTGGCACTTCTATTGATTACTATTTGTGCAAGTCGCGTTGGTTTTCACTACAATCAGTTTGAAAGACCAACTGTACTCAAGTTGTAGGATGGTAACA